TTATCCTGAGGTTGAGGGGAAGACAGTGAAGAGTGTGAAGCAGAAGAGAGACATATTGGGATCTGCTTTTTAGAAAAAAGCATCCTGGCTACAGCATGGAGAAGGAATTAAAGGGGACAGATAGGAGGTAGGGAGACCAATTTGACAGCTGTGACCACAGTCCAGGAAAAGAGGGCGGGAACCTGAACTAGGGTGGTGGTAGTGAGGATACAGAAATGTAGATACATTCAAGAGATGGTGGAAGCCAGAATGAACTTGATAGATTTTAAGTAGATGGTGAAGGAGAGAGAGAAGGTAAGGATGGTTCCTGGGTGCCTGGTCTGAGTGCCTAGAGTGATAATGGAATCATTCACTATGTGTAATGGACTGAATGTTTGTGTTCCCCCAAAATCTGTATGTTGAATTCCTGACCCCCAATGTGATGGCTCAGGAGATGGGCGCTTTGGGAGATAATTAGGTTTAGATGAGGTCGTGATGGTGGAGCCCCTATGATGGATTAGTGCTCTCACGAGAAGAGAACAGAGTTTCTTCTTGCCACCCCATGAGGACACAGCAACAAGGTAGCCATCTGCAAGCCAGGAAGAGGTCCATCACCAGACACCGAAGCTGCCAACAGCTTGACCATGGACTTCCAGCCTCCAGAGCTGTGAGAAATAAATGTCCGTTGTGTGAGCCCTAGTCTATGGTGTTCTGTCGCAGCATCCTGGACTGAGTAAGACACTGTGACAGGGAAGGAGAGGTAGTGTAACTCCAGTTTCAGGTGGGAGCAGGTACGAGCGGGATGCTGCCAGATGTCCGAGGGGTTGAGTAGACAACAGGAGTTGGAAGAGAAGTCTAGGCTAGAGATATGGATTCCAGGCTGTACTGTGGAAGGATTGTAGAGCCATGGCATTATGAGGTGACCATGGAGATGGGGAAGAGTGAGAAGAGAAGAGGCTTAGGGACACCAAAATTTAAGGGGCGGAGACCTAAGCTTGCACACAGTGTTCACAGTTACTAATGTCCAGAGTGAGAAGAGAGCAAAGCTCACATACTGGGCCACAGGCATGTGATCCAAGCACATAATTCTGTCCCATAAGAACTTTAACTTCTAGCCCTTCAACAATGGTACCCTCAGAAACTGATGTCTATGAAAGGGCCTCAGTTGTACCTGAGGTCTCATTTTTTTGGATTTTAGAATGCCCCACAGATGTGAAGTACTACCCTAATAATAATTCTCACAGTGATTGGAGCTGTTATCCTCCCCAATTTCAAAGGGGAGAAGTTACATTCAGAGAACTTACTTGGCTTGTCCCAGTGAGAAAGGCAGAGCCTGAAATCACTCGGGTCTTCTGATTTAGATGTACTGCTCTGTCCTTGTCCTTGTAAGTTACTACTTATTGCTCCTATATGTTTATGTTAGTTTATTATTTTCTGAACCTGTGGATCCTCTCTGTCAGAACCCAAAAGAAAAACACCCTTCAGCTGAAGACACGGAAAAATACAGCATGAGGGAATTTCTCAGAACCATTTCTGAGAGACCTAAGATGCCCTTCTCTTGGGACCTTGGCCTGTCAGCTGTTACCAAGTCCTGGAGAAAATGGGGAGTCTGAAACGCAGGCTGTGTTTGTCCCTGCTCCTGCCTCGTTTGTTCTATTTCTGCTTCACACCATCATGGATAATGAAAGTCGACTGGCTGCTTGGGTTTCCTTTCTCTCTGCCACTGTCGTTTCCATTTGCTGGATCTCATGCCTTTTTAGCACAAAGTTGTTGTGTTTGGGCTTCACTTTGCCAGGCAGTGATAAATTCCAAGAAAAACCTATTCTTATTGAATTATTTTCAGAATGTTATGCAAACATGTCTAAATTATGTGGCAGCCAATTCTGCTCTAAGATCTGGTTTTGACTTCATGTTAATTCGAGTAGGGGAGAGAAAGAAAGAAAGAAACAAAAACCCAAAGTGCTGAGATGCCATCTTTCATTCTCTAGGAGAATTTTTTTTTTTTTTTTTTGAGTCTAATCCTTTGATCCAATGGCTTAAGTTCCCTTTCAGAACACTGGGTAGTGAAGGGCGTGTTCCAGTCTTGGATGCCCCTCAAGGAGTACACAGAGGGAAAGTGCCGCACCTCAGTTCTCCAGGAGAAGAAAGGCTGAGACAGGTCGAAAGCCAAACACAAACGTAGGGAAAGGCCATGACCTCCTTTTCTTGAAAAGGATCAAACAGGACTTCTTTCAGTGAGTTCAGACCTTAATCTAAGCTGTCTTCTCCCAAGGAGCTTTAAAAAAACAAGTAGTAATGGCTATTTTCCACCCATGTACTCTCTATCAGCAACTCTAAGAACCAAGATCTAATTCTACCAGAAACAATACATTGCTGATCCTGGGGGTGGACAACTGTTGCTTTTCCATTTCCACCTCTTATAGCCAAAATCCCTCTCTTTTTTTTGATGGAATGTTCTGTTCCCTCACTAGCTGTCCATTTTGGAGCTGGCTACACTGGTAGGATGAAAGGCTGGAGCTGTTGATGACCCTTGTCAAAGGGCATTTGCCTGAGACTGAAGCCTGGACGGGAGGGTGGACAGTCAATGGGCAGAGTATGCAGGGTCCTGAGCACATCATCTGAACTCTGGCTTCAGACCATGCCTGAGCCAGATCTACTGCCTGGACTCTGTAAATATAGGAACCAGCAAACATCAGAATCTCAACTACCGTGTGCTTCAAGTCTCGGTGTGTTCATCTGAAAAACGGAAAGGACAATATACTGAGATTTTCAATGTGTTCCATAAACCATTGGAATTCCAAAAGTCTTGTCCATAATATTCTTGTTCAAAATGCCATTATGTGCGCATGTGGCTGACTATACAGAACAGAATTAGTAAAGAGGAAGGACTCAAATTCCTGAATTAAAACTTTTATTGCAACAGCACCAATGACCTCCATTGTCAGAAGATTTCAATCAAAACTCCTCACGCTGGCTCTACCAGATAGCCTGTCTACATTTGCAGCCTTATCCCTCAACATCCCTTCACATTTCCCATCCTCTGGCCACACCAAGCCCTGCAGTGTTCTCCACTCATTCTCAGTGCTGCCTGTCTATGTCCCTGCAATCGTAGTGGCTCCTTTTCACGGGATGCCCTCTCCACTCAGCCGCATCCCACGTCGCAATATCTCCCAGTCTCACCCATCTGCAAGATCCATATTCTTCAAAAATCCTCCTTCAACTCCCCATCCCCAATCCTTCTAACAAACAATTCTTTCCCCTGAATCCCCAAAGCATTTTATCTAGACCTTACTTATGTTACTGCATCAAGTTCCCCTTATGCACCACTTCAGATCACCCCCAATTCTCAGGAGCTTCAGGGGCCCTTGTTGCCCACATCGCCACTGAGCAAGCCATCCTGTGTAGACTCTGGCCAACTGCACATGACCACAACCTGACAATGACTCCCTGCAGGTCCGTGATCTGAACCTCTTATCTTCCATTTTGGTACATTCCTGTTGCCGTTGAGTCATTAAACCCAATGGGATATACGTGCACACACACACACATGTACACACACACACGCAAACACACACACCCCTATAAGGGCAGGGAGTTAATGGTTCCTGGGGTGAAGCTTTGATCACCAGGAGAAGGAGCCAGTGAATAACTTCTCCATCTCCTTTCCCAGTCCATCACATACTTTGCTGAGACCCAGTCCTTCAAGGCTTCTAGGTCCTATGAGAGTGAGCAATTAGTTCTACTTATTACCAAGTGATGTCTGGCTTGGCAGACACCCCCTGTAACTGTTCTCCTTGCCTTCCTCACACCGTTGTCTCCTCCTTCCTCCCCTCCTTGCTTGCGATATCCAGTAACGAAGCAGCAGATACTGCATGCCTCTGGCTCTGTTTCCTAGGGTACCCATCCTCTTACTTTCTACTTTATATCACGGTTGCTTATGAATGTACATTTGTACCTTTCTCCCCCTTACTAGACTACATAATTATTGCAGATCCATTCTATATTTTCCGTCTCTGTAATACAATATCCCAGATGAGTGCCTGTCATATGTCTGTGTTATGGATGACAACAGACTTTGGAAAATGTAGTGTCAGTAGGGACCTGAAGCCCCTGAATAGACACACCCAATGTGGCAGGATGGGAGGGCAGTTTGTTCTAACATTATGACTCTATTCTCAAGCCAATGACTTGTTAATACAACCAAGGGCTGTTGAGCACACTGGAGCACGATTTGACCAAGGGATGTTCTCTTTCTCATCTCAGTACAAGAGTGTGCATGTGAGGCAAAATACCGAAAATAAGTAGGTCACACTCTACTGGGAAGAGAAGGTAGCAAGGCGCTGGTGTGGCTGGGAAGGAGACTGTAAGGAAAAGAACTGGAGTGACTCCGTTTAGCTTTGGGGAAGGAATATAAGGAAATTCTGATGGCCTGATACCTTTCACAATATGTACAAAGGAGAAATATAAATTCACAAAAGGGCTGAGAGGCCCCTGGGAAAGAGATCTTATTAGAACATATTATGGACTGAATGTGTGCTCCAAAAATTCATGTGTTGAAATCCTAATCCTCGACGGTATTAGGAGAGGGGGCATTTGGAGGTGATTAGCTTATGAGGGTGGTGCCCTCATAAATGGGATTGGCACCTTCATAAGAAGAGACACAAGAGAGCTTCCTGTCTCTGCTCTCCACCTTGTGAGGATACAATGAGAAGATGGCCATCTGCAAACTGGCAAGAGAGCCCTTCCTTATTGGACAGGGTATCTGCCAGTGCTTTGCTCTTGGACTTAGCCTGAAGAACAGCAAGAAATAAGTGTCTGCTGCTTAAATCACCCCGTCTACAGTATAGCAGCCCGTTACGGTGGCCTGAACAGACTGAAACAGAGCATCAGGAGGACTGAGAGGATCCCAACTGAGGTCTGCTAGGAGGGAAGGAGACCACAGCCTCTAAGGACAGAATTCACTTCAATGAACTGGAAGCAATTCTAGCAACCCCTCCCCCCACACCACCACCACAACCACCTCACCACCTTTAATACAGCCTGTCTCACATCATGGATCATTGTGGCTGGAACCTTGGTGCCCATGTGCGGCCTTGAAACCACTGTGCCCTGTGCTCATACTTGGGTCTACAAAGGCGTGACCACAACAGTGGAGAGGCATCCATCAGCCTGTACTGGGGGGCTTTTAACAAAGGCACCTGTGGAAGGAGCTGAAACAACACACATCCATAATCGGGCAGACGGTACACTCAAGTTCTCTCTCAGCCCTGTATCTGGAAACAGGACTGTGCACTTTGGACTCTGTCCCTGGAGTTCTTGGACTTCAAGTAGTCTTCCTGCTAATGAGGACTCAACCAGTGAATTGCAAATTAAAAGATGTGACTACATTCTTAAGGTGACGAAGCGGTTCCACCTGGTCATTCCAGGACTTGCAAAGCCGTCTGCAAGAAGCACTCTGTTGACCACAGATCTTCTAAGGTACCAGGTGTAGCCACTGCCTGTTGGAAACTGTGACCCATGCAGAGAAAAACAAAACAGGAGATGAGCAGAGGAGAGCAGATGAGTAATTGCACCTGTCAGAAAATGAGGATAACGGTTCAGGCTACACGCACGGAAGTCCTGAGTTCTGTGGAGAAAAACACGAGAGCAAACATGGGGAACTGTTTGTCCTCAATCTCCCCCGGAAAAGGTGGAGTTGCTCGTTTGGGCCTGGTGGCCTGTATTGCCTTCCAGCCAACACTATTAAAAGTGCCTGCTCACACTTGGTGGTTAGCACAGGCATTTCACAACCCCTGACCTGCTGCCCATCCTGCAGATACAGGCAGCTCTAATTTTGCAAAATGCTATTTTTAAAACAATTAAGTAGTTCCACATTGCCCCCACGGCAGCCCTGGGGAAAGAATTGGTTGCCTCACCGTATCTTTGGCACCGAAGGGCTTTGCTGTGGATGTCTTCTTTCTGCTGTCGTACCGTCCTGATTAAGATGAATTGTTTCAGTCAAAGTGAGTCACTCAGAAAGGATGGAGGGAGGAGGGCAGTTTGCTTTTTTTCCTACTTCAATGTTTGTTCTCAAAGATCCAGAAGAATACAGAAGTGAAGCAAAGGAATTTAAAGTGTGGAACATGTAATAAAGGACATCAAGTGAAAAGCTATTATGGGCTCCCTGTTTATCTTCAGCTCAGTGACTTTCAGAAGAGCATGCGCTTGGCTGGTGAGCTTGGAGGATGTGGCTGCTCCCTGCCAGTTGGAGCCTCAACTTGAACTCTCAAAAACCCAGCTGACCTCATCAAACCCCATCTGCCCTAAATAACAAAGCTAGGACACCCTCCCCTCGACAGACTCATGCACATGTACACACCACATACACACACACACACACACTCTAGGTGTATATATTGGAATTTCCAAAGCCTATTTTGAGTAGAGAAGTCATATATGACCAAGAAAGAAACTGAGTAAGAAAAAAGAAAATACATAATGACTAAACTCAAGACTGCACCACAGAGGAAATAAATATTATTTATAGGACAACTTTGACTTACTGGGCATTAGTGCAATGGTTTACTCTTCCTGAGTCACTTCTCCAAGGCTCAGACTCAAACATGCCCTCTGAGTATGGCCCCCTGGCTCTGAGACCCCACCACCACCTCACTGTCTGCCAAGCCCCTCAGATGGCTTTATTGGTAAAGTGGGCCCGGGTGAAGCAGCTTGGGCTATTTGAGTAGTATTTATAGAACACTTCTAGAGACCTCATCCAAACCCATGATCACTAATCTCATTCGAAATCGAAAGCATCTATCATTGACTCTTTTTTTCTATCCCACTATCTTAACAAAAAGAAGAAAGGTTTGGTAAAGAGGAAAATGTATAGTTTTGCTGATTTTGTGCATTCAGTAGGGATCAAATTGCCATAACCCGTTGGGAAGAAAATTGGGCAGGGTGTCAGGAGCCTGCACCACACAGCATCTAGCTCAGAACATGGTGCACTCGATCTCTATTGGCAAATGAGTGAATGAACTTGAGTATGAATTCCAGCCCATCAACCAACCAGTTGCGTGACCTCAAATAAACCACTTTTGTTTTCTAGATCTCAGAGAATAGTCCAACAGAGGGAACTAGATTATCTTCTAGTTCAAGTATTTCTGTCACTGTCCCAGCAACCTGGAGTCTGTACATCCCCAGAGGGATGTCTTTCCCTGGAAAGTCCATTTGCAACCATCTCTGTCTTACATGTACATCTTGGTCTGGATGAACCTTGACCATTCAGCTCCCGGTTCCAGCCTGAACCCACCCAATGGCTTCACTGAAGCCTTCTCTGGATTCCAATGGTTCTAATGTAGGGGATGGCATATCTGTTTTTGCCAAATTTAGGTTGTTGGCAGATGCTTCTGCAGCAACTCATTCCCCAAAAAGTAACTCATCTGAACTCTCTCCACCCCCCAGCCCATACAAATTGCCACAAAATTACTGATGGTAATTAAAATTCATGGCCTCTTTGGAAAAAGTATGAGGTCGGTAACTTGCTGCATCCTTAAGTTACAGAGAAGATACTTTTTATCCTCAAACGAGAAACCAAGGAATATTATCATAATTCTATCTGCCCCATATTTGATGGCTCCACAATAGTTATTTCTCTTACCCAACCCAGGTTTGTTCATTCTCAATCCCGTTCTCTCTCACTCGTTCTTGCTCTTGCTCTTTCTCTAGCTCTCTGTCTCAAACTCAGAGGACTGGCAGGATTCCCAGCCATGTGAACATAAGTCAGTGCAATCTTGGCCAGAGTTAGATACATCGACAAAATGCAGGTAACATTGGTCACTCGGAAGGTTGAGCCAAAGGCTTAGAGCCTAGATAGCTTCAGTCCCGTATTGTCCCATGATGCTTGCCCTGACACCTTCTCCCCTTCTCCCCTTCTCCCCTTGGTCCCAGACCTTCTTAAGAACTAGAGGATATCGATAAAGAAATCTCAAGATCCGTTCCAGCCCTATTCTCCTCCTTTTGGGAATGAGGCCGTGAGACTCAGAGAGGCCCAGCCCAGCCATGTCTTCAAAACCTCTTCCTGTGCCTCTCCTACCATCCTACAGAATTCACTCAGTCACTCCTCTTTCCACAGGACATTAGGCTTCTATGTCTAGCTGGAACTATTTTGGCAAAAGTCTTTGCTAGCGACCAACCCAGGCCTCCCTGGAGTGGAAAATCAGGAGGTGCTTAATCAGGCAGGATGGCCAAGGGATCTGCAGAGTAATAAAAGGCACAGGAGGGAGGCTGCTGTGACCCAACTGTTCCCCTACAAGGCCAGCGCATGTTGGGCATTTTGCTTTGTTTTGCTGCCTTTTTGTTGACCTTTCCCCCTCATTTGTGTCTCTATTTAGTTTTGCGTGGGAAAGAGAAGGTCAAGGATCTGGGAAGGCAGGGAAGATGTTTTATTGGTCAGAAATTGGCAAGACCTCATATTCCTGCTTCATCAGCATGCCTGACCCATTGGTTGGAGATGGGTCTTCACCTCCTGGCTCCTCTTGGGCTCTGTAAATTCACACTTTTTAATTTTTACAGAGCAGTTTACAGGATGCAAAGAGGGAAAGCTGGGGGATTTGTTGTCAGGGGCTGCATTGAGCAATGAACCATGTTCTTGCATTCCTGTTCTTCCAACCATCTGTGAGTCTTGTAAATAAGCACTTAGACTGTGTGAGGGAGATGGAAAAGGCTCCTTTGCAGGCGTGAAAGAGCAGGAGGGTCAGGAAGAAGCCTTCAGGAAAACCTGAGACACTGGTCTGTCTCTAATCAACTTGGTTTTGTAGGGGGGTGCAGGCAGGAGAACATTTAGCAGGTCATTTTCACAACCCACTCTGAGCTGTCCAACCTATGAGGAGAAGGAAAATGCGTGACTTGATGATTTAAGCCAGAACATGCTCAACATGTTTAATAGTTCATATTTTGAAAGGGGTGCTTTGGGAGGAATGTGGTAGGATCGAAAGAATTTGAAACTGTAGAATTCTCTGACTCTCTAGTTACTCCTCAGAGTATCATAATCTACAAGCAACATCCCCACAGCAGTCAGTCACTTAGAAATGAGAACTGATAGAGACCAACAAAGACACGACTAACAAAGAATCAAAGCTAAACTTGACAGAAATGTCCTGTGTGGTCCAGTTAAATAAGGGGCAGGTTCAGTCGCTAAGAATTTTATTTATCAGTAGAGAAAAGTTGGGGAAAAGGACTTGGAGTTTTTCCAAGTGTCCCCACCTTTTTAAAGCTTGAGAACCCCACTAGAAGGGAAGGTTAGAACAACTGAGGAGTCATCGTCACCATCATGACCATCATCATCCTGCCTCTTGGTGGACATTTAGTAAAAGCTTATTGGATGCCAGGCATCTTATAAGTGCTTTGCATACATTATCACATATCATCTCTCTCAAGATAGGACGTGATTACCTGCCTCTTCTGGGTCCAGAGATTGGGGGAGGTGTCTCCCCCATGGCCTGCAAAGGGGTGGCAGACAGAAGAAGCTCAACCTCTACCTTAGTCTAACCTCAGTCTCTACAAGTGAGGAAGCAGATGCTCCGAGGACTTTAGCTCATATTGAGACTTCCCAGTTTTTCCTTCCTCCCAAAGAAGAAGCCAGTTAATGCTAATACTGGAAGCTCCAAAGGGAGAGAGGAGAGGAAAGTGGCTGTTAGAAAGGTAAAATTAGACCTATGATTCCACCCTGAATTCTGGAAGATCCTGACTATGATGGTTTGAACCCCTCACCACAGTCCTTTAGTGTGATATCTCTGTTTGTCTGGGTTGGGAAGACTTCCGGGAGAAGCCCCAGCCTGTTCATGGAATCCTATACCTCTCTCCACCTTCCCATGGCCCCGACTCCTTAGGAAGGGGTTCTGTGTGGAGCTGGAGAGGACTTGAGCTCTCAGTGGGTGGGAAAGTGGGATGGAAGGTGGCCTTGGGTCAACCTCTGCAAAGCGCTGCCCACAGCAGCTGTCCACCTGGCCTATCAGGCACAGGAGGTGTGGTGTGGAATCTCTTCTCTTTACTCTCCCTTGATGTCTGGGAGTAAAGGCCTCTTGAGTTTTCCTAGTAAATGTCCCATACCAGAGGGGTAGTGGTTATGTTTTATGCCTCAGGGAAGTGAAGAGGGAAGAAAAAAATATTACCATAAAAGCAAACTGGAAAAACTAGAAGTGGAAAAATTCTCCTAGGGAAACACACAATACGATTAAAGCAATTTAGATTCTTCTGGGAAGAGGTGTGTGTGAGGGGGTGGAGGGGGATGCTAATAAACAGCGCATACTTGGAGTCTCCAAAAGAGCAGGAAACCAGACTCCTTCCAAGGGCAGGGGTGATGCATTTAGAGAAATAACACGCGGGATTGTCGCAGGCAGCCCTGCTGTATACATGGCAAGGAATAGTGCCAGATCCCATGTACTCTCAAACCAATTCGCAAATCCCTCGGATTATCAAGAATTTTATTTGCCTTTAGAGCGGAGCAGCCTTGTACACCATAAACATTCCATTCAGGCATGAAGTTCTGGGCTGCGCCTCTGGCTCACTCAGCACCACTCCTGCTGAGAGTCTCCCTTCCATCCAGTTTCTTTGGCTGAGCCTGAGTGCGGTTAAGCTACGACCTCCAGTCGCTTAAAGCTGCAAAAGTCTTTTCATCGATCACTTATGCTCCAATTCCTCCTCAGGCTTAAACACAGATGCTCTGGTATTGTGAGCAGAATAATGACTTCCCAGAGATTCCACATCCGAGTCCCCAAAACCTGTGAATATGTTCCCTTACATATCAAAAGGGACTTTGCCAATGTGATTCAATGAAGGACCTTGAGATGGGAAGCGTATCCTGGGGTATCTAGATGAACCCAATTCAATCGTAAGGGGCTCTAAAAGATGGACGAGAAAGGCTGAAGAGACAGAGGAGACGTGACGATGGAAGCAGAGGTCCAGCATCACTTCCTCAGCGGACCCACGGCGGGCGCCCATTTGAGGTCAAATCTCTTCAGTAGAGTCTCCCTTTGTTCTGTAAATTTTGCCTTCATAGGGATCGTCCCCACCACAACTGAAGAGGAGTTTGTGTGATTATTTGACTAATGTCAGTGTCATTTACTAGCACACAGGAAGGCAGCGGCTATGCCAGATTTTGCTTCCTTCTGCAGTCCCAGCCCACAGCAGGTACTCAATAAATATTTGTTGAATAAATGCGCAAATGAAAGGATGAACAGGATCTAACCCTCCTGCGGTTCTGAGTATCCTTTAGTGTGGGTGGAAACACAGCAGTCCATGAGGAACCCCACTGATCTGCTCTTTGCTTTTTGTTTTCCTATCTTGCTCCAACCAGAATATTTATCTTTACATATGGTCTTAATACATTTTTGCTGAGAGAACAGCAGTATCTATAACTCTAATCCATGGCTCCAGGAGTTTGTAGGGATGGAAAATTTCCTTTTTCTCTGTTATGATTTGTATTCAGATTATTCTGATTTTCACTCTTGACCTGATTGCCCCACCAGTGTACAATGATCTCTGTTGTTGGACGGGAGGTGTCCTGTGGCTTTCCTCTCCTCTCAATGTGAAAGATCATCCACTTATTCCAAGACCGAGGTCCCAAGCCCAGTTGTGCAATACCCCAGGGGGGAATCCCATTTTCAAATCATCAGAGCAAATTTTGTTGAAATTCACTTAAACCTTAGTGCGCTCCCGCATATATTTTTAAAGGAAGTTGTGGGTGAGATTACAAAAACTGAAACACTGAAAAGGTAGATCTACTCAACTCAGTTATTGCCCACCAGCTCTCAGTGTAAAACTCTGAAATAAAATAAGGTCATTTTAAACTCTCTCCTCTTTCTCAACAGTTGATTGCTTACGTCTGTAGAGCGCAATTAGAACATTCCCACATTCATCCCTCACAACTTGCCTGGGGTGGGTGCACGGAGCGGGGGGCAAGCCAGGTGTTACTAATTTCCCTAAGTACTGAAATCACAAAGTAATTGCTCACTCTCTTTTCACCTGGCTGCTTCATCTTTGTTTCCCTGGTGCCTCTCGTGCTATCTAACACATATTAGTCATGGGTAAGTATTTTTGGAAGGAATATGTGAATTCCTGGCTTCTTTCTAATAGGAGTATTTTTAATTGACTTGCCCAACATTATCCAGTTAGTAAATGAAGGGCCTTGGATTTGCAACGCAGCCATCTGGTTCCAAGGCCAGTGCCCTTTCCTCTCTGTGGTCTGGGACAGGACTCCTAGGGAAGGATGAGGGATGGTGGGGACAGAAGGTTGACCCTGCTTTGGTGTGAAGAGCACTGTGTCAATGGTGGACACAGTGGGGAGTTTGTCTCTTCAGGCAAGGAAAAGTAAGCACCGAAAAAGAAAGCTGGAAAGCCTTCAGTGCACTCAGGCAAGAGCAGGAAGAATGTAGATAGAAGACAGACACAAACAAAAGAGCAGAGATGCTGGAGTCTTCTCCTCACCCCGCTGTAGCCCCAGAAACCAGAGAGAACCCCAAAAGCCAAGCAAGTCGGGCACACCCCTGACATGGCACTCAGTCCAACCCAGAGGATTTTATAGCCCTCAGGATGTTTAAAGAAGCAAAAGACCTGGAGGATTTGTATTTCTGGCCCATTAAAGAATGTTTATTTTAAAATATTTAACATTTCTTTATTAAAGATGAACAGGCAGGATATAAGCTCTATAAACTTTCCAAGGCAAGGACATTGCTAGCATTCCGAATGGAGGAATTATTGCCCCGAGAGAGAACCAAGCCTTGCCTATTGCGCTTTACAGGTGGCTGCATATGGAATATTTTTCTTACAAGATCATAATCCAGATGCATGAGCTTTTGAAAATTAAAATTGTAGCTGGATTTTTCTTGCTGCCTCACTCCTAGGCCAGCTAGGGAGGAGGTTGGGGGTCAATTCTCAGGGCAGGCTTGCCCAAAGCATGACCTGACCTTCAGACAGGGCTTTGCAATGCCCCTCCAGTTATGTCACAGGGGTGTCAGCTGTGGCCTCCCTGTCCGTCAGAGTTAAGCCCCTTCTCAGACGTGCAGGCCTGGGGTACAAGACCACCAACGGAAGCCCCTGGCCCTTTCTCTTCCCACCCCTGGCTCCATCCAGCACTAGAAGGGGTTCACACATATCAGTGTGGACATCTTAGGGTCCAACACCCAACTTCCATCCACAGCCCTGCAAACAAACCTCCTTGGCCACTCCTCTGGCCCAGAAGTGTACACACTGGTGGAGTGATCCACTCTCCAGAGGGACCTAGGCAAGAGGCTTGTGCAGGCTCAGAAGCCAGCTGGGGACCATTTGGACAGGGGAGTCCAGGGTCCCAGGGACCCAGAAGGGCGTGGGTTCCAGATACACACATCCGCAACTCCACAAACTCCTTACTCCAAAGGGAGGGAAATGATGGGAGGGAGCCAGAAAGGGGCCCTCTGAAGTGCAGGGCCCGGAAGAGGGAGCTGGTCCTGTCAGTGTAGGAGAGTGCCAATCAGATTTAGATAAACTTGATTCAAACTCCCCAAAAGCCCCAGGCTCTCTGCAGATCATAGCATCTATTATTTTCTCAGCTTTGTGTATTCATGGTCCCCTTCCAGCCAAGTACTACTTCTGTTTTCCCTCACACCGACCCATACTTGAAATGCCATCACAAATTGACAAGTTTTTAGGAAAAAATATTCTCATACCAAACATCTTATTTTTAGTCAACTCTGCTAAAGACTTGGTGTTGAATAGCTCTTTTCATCTCTGCTTCCTCCTCCCTCCAAGGAGCAAAACAAATTCTATTCCTATTATCATAGAAAGAGTTTAGGGTGTATGCGTATAAGATCGTAACACATCTGTGTCTATGCACAAACACACACATGACTCAAGTTCGATAGAAGAGAAACAGACACGTGGCAATTTGCTGGGGCACAGCAATGGCAGAACCATTGACTGAAGATCTACAGGGCACGGGGGGTCCCCTGAGCTGCCTATTTCTCTGTCCTAAGGCCACAAAATCTGTTTCTGCTGAGTGTCTACCCTATCACCCAATACTGCCTTTATTGGGACTAAGTAGAATTTCCATTCCTTGCAAAAAATACTAAAGCTGGTTTTCACTATGTTTCAAATGGGAAACTGAGATTTAGAGAAATTGTGGCTTGCCAAGTAAAGTGTCTCCTAAGTATTGGGCCTCCAATAAAATTCAGTACACATGACTACAGTTTCTGTGCTCTTTCCCCCTTATTCACCTAAAGCCATGAGTTCATTAGGTACCGTGCTAGATGGTATCATGATTTAGCAAACACTCACGGCTTCTTTTACCCACACCATGGGAGGACTGCATCCTCCCGCTCCAGCCTTTCATCCCAAGTGGAACATGTCTCAGTTAGCCACGGCTCCAAGGAGCTAGGGACACAAGAGGAGCAGAAAGACTCAACATTTAGCTGGCACCAAGCCCAACCAACCCTGGTTAGATCAACTGAACCTCAGACAACTTGCAGGCACATGAATAAGAAAGAAATGCTTACTTTTCTATACTACTGAGCCTAGGGGTGGTTTGTCACACAGGATTTTATAAATATAGCTCTTCTACGTGTATATAATCTGCCTTCCAAGATACCGCAAGCAACGGTTTTACCAAATGTTTCTGCACTGAATAGCGTGACTCACCAAGAAGTTTCCTTGCTGCGTACGTAACACTTAACCTTGAAAGCCAATGTCACACATTGTAGGTTTTCTGTTGCACTCCACTTCTGGTACCAATATTTTTATTAGTCAGCTTTAGTCATTTATGCTGCAGCAATAAACTACCCAAAATCTTGTTGGCTTACAACAACAAAGTTTTATTTCTCACTGACCTTCTGGCTGGCTGCAGCCCTTTGCCATGGATCTTCTTCATTCCAAGATCCAGGGTGAAGGAGAAGCCCCTCCCTGGAACATACCCTTCTTGCAAAAAAAGGAAAAGGGCAACAGAACCTGGTGATTTCTTTTAAGGCTTCTGCTGAAACGTTGCCTACGACATTTCTGCTCGCATTTCATCTGACAAATGCAAGTCACGTGGCCAAAGCGGACCTACGGGGTGAGTTTGCGTAATCCTCTCAAATAGGTTGAGAGTAACTAATTGGAACCACAATACCCACCAAATGGCATGAAGCTCTCAAAATGTCATCTCCTCAGTATCACCCTGTGGGGACATCTCTCTGCCCTTTCTGTTTCTACAGCATATATTACCACATTGAGATGCGTGAATAAATACTTTTGGAAGAAGGGACTGTCTCCCCTCCTGCATAGTGGGCCATTTGAGGGCAGAGATTCTTCTTTACTTTATTCTGTTTTCCCAGAACTTAGCACAGTCCTTGCAACCTAGTCTTTTGCTCTGTTAGTGCTAACTTTTTTAAAATTGTGTAGTAACGCATGGAACCAATCATGAGATCCAAGGGATGTTAGGAAAAACTTATACAGGAAGAGAGGGAGGAAGACCAGAAACTGAGTTTTGCACTTTTTTTTAAATAGATATGAAGGAGAAATATACAGTAGGCAGCTGAATGTATAAGCCTGAAGTTTGGGAGCCGTGTCCAGGGGGCAGATACAGACTTGGCAGTTGTGAGCATGTGGATGATGTTTAGAGCTCTGAGACTTGATGATATCACCTAGGAAGAGAATGAAAAAAGAGATGTTCGCGATGTGTTTCCCACTTCTTATTTCAGTTCCTAACCCGCCTGGAGACTGTAACGCAGAACCACAAGTGTTTCCTTGGACAGAACCATTGATATCTCTTGAATGGGTCTCCTGGGTGGTCAGCTTGGAGCGACTATAGGTTTCTCACTGGAATGGGAGTATATACTTAGGCTCAAAGCTCTAATTTCGTCCTTTTTGTGCCCCGGGGCTTATCTCAGCATAGGGCCAGGCTGTATTCTTAGAAGGACCTTCAAGGGGTACCCTGCTCACTCCTGGACTCCTGCTGCACGTGTCACCCCTCTCACATGTCTGCCACTCCATTTCCTCCTCCTCCCCCATTAATTATGTTGGTAGAATGTCAACCTTGAACCAAACCGGTAATAAGGGCCAGGCACACGATACATGCTTTGCGTATGCTGTCTCATTCCATCCTCACCACAACCCAGTGAGGTAGGCACAGGCCCAGTTTACTGATGTCAGATCTGGAGCTCAGAGAGGTTAGGTAATGTGACTAAAGTCACAGTTAGTGAGGAGCAGAACTTTTTAATGGAATCTCTCGGCGAAGATACCATGTTCTATGCAAGCTGCTGAGCTGCCTCTAACATGAGGAACCCTGGGAACTGAGTCTTCTGAAAGGAAATACACTTGCAGATAAAGAAACACATATGACAAGGCTGGCACCGTGGCCTCGTGGTTAAGTTCGGTGTGCTCTGTTTTGGCTGCCTGGGTTCAGTTCCCAGGCATGGACCTACACTGCTTGGGGGCCATGCTGTGGTGGCAACCCACATACAAACTACAGGAAGACTGGCACAGATGTCAGCTCAGCAGCAATCTTCCTCAGCAAAAAAAGGAAGATTAGCAACAGATGTTACAAAAAAAGAAAGAAACACACACACACAATAGATAAATAGAAAGATTGATAGATCAATCAAGATAGAGATATATGGAGATATTTGGAATTTAAAAAAACTCAGTACATAGCTCCCTACCTTCTTAAATAGGAGATTATGAACAACATAATTTAATCATTCTTTCATACATTTATTTCATGCCCACTCTGGGCCCAGCAGTGTGTCAAGAGCAGTGTTTTAAACGTACTTCAAATTAACTTTTGTTCTCCAAAACTCTTAAGAGTGTGTAGTCTAGTTGAAGAAAGATAAGAAAGCTCTATGCATTCATATATGTACACATGTATATATGGAACAAGGAAAGACCATATTAAGAGGAATAAAGTAATTCCTTTCAAATATTGAAGGCTTTCTAATTTGCAAGGCATCTTCCCATGCACCACGTCACTTGATCCTCACAATCATTATCACTATTCCACAGGTGAAGAAACTGGAGCCTGGAGAATTTCAATGCTTTGTTGAAGATTACACAATGAGTACGTGCTAAAGCTGGGAAATGAAACCCAGCTTCTGGCCCCCTGTTCTCACCAGTAGTGTGATGCTGAGACAGCACGAGTACAAAAGTCTCTCTTGTTCTTTAAGACCTCTGAGCAAGGTCCCACTCCCTCACTCTGTTACCCAGGATGCCAGCTTCTTAGTGGAAATCAAGTCCTGGTGTTCATTTTTTGCTAAACTGAGCTGTTGGGCTTGTCTGGGTGCTGCCTGAGGGAGGGGGTGGCAGGCGAGAGAATGCTCTGTTTTGCAGCTCTTGCCAGCCCTGGAGAGCTGGTATTTTCTGAAAGAATGCTGGGTTCTCAGAAACACGATTGATAATGAGGTTGCTCATTTTTAAAATGCTGTAACCAGATATTCTAGGAAAACAGACCTGATTCCAGGAGTGTGGCCGTGGTGTTTGGGTTTAAGGTTTGAGGTTGTTTGTTTAAGATGAACTTTCAGCCCGTCAACCTCACAATCAGGCCATTGTACAAAGGGAGAACTCTCAGGGATCCTCGGAGCCTAAGACAACTATGACATTCCTGAACCTACCACCTACTAAAATGGAGTTTTCAGGGCCCGGCCCAGTGGCTGAATGGTTAAATTTCCATGCACTCCGCTTTGGCGGCCTAGGTTTGCAGGTTTGGATCCTGGGCGCACACCTACTCTGTTCACCAGCGATGCTGTGGAGGTGTCCCACATACAGAAAAAAAGAGGGAGATTCGTATAGATGTTAGCTCAGAGCTAATCTTCCTCAAGCAAAAAAAAAAAAAGAGAGAGAGAGAGAAGGATTGGCAATGGACATTAGCTTGGGGCAATCCTCCTCAGCAAAATAAAATAAAATAAAATAAAATGGAGTTTTCACCTCCTGGGACCCTGGCAAGGAGGAAGTGCTAGTGTGTGTGTATATGCATGTGCATGTGTGTGTACATGCGTGTGTTCTGAATCAGAGGAAACCAGCTCAGGGATTACATAGAATGCCCTCTAGCTTCAGTCAGACTTGGAGAACAATGCAAATGCATTCAGACCAAAGAAGAAAATCCAAGGCCAACAGGAAACAGGGTGGCCCTCCAGGCTTGGCGAGGGTGCAATTTCCCCGGAGGCAGTTTTGCTTGTGTGTCTCCCCTGGGCAGGGCAGGGGGTGAGCAGAGCAATAACTGAAGGCCCACACACCGCAGACAAGCCCCTGGCTCTGCTCAGAGAGCCACAGTTCAGAGCCAAGTGGGCCACCAATGGGTCATCTGGGCTCACCCCCTGCCTCCTGGGCCACTTTCTTTCCGTCATACCTCTCACTCGGTATCTGCTTTCTAAACAGTGAATGAGAAAGGAAATGAATGTTTACTGAATTTAATTATGCACCAGGTGCATCACGTAATTATGGTGGGAACAACACAGTACGATAAGAGCTAACATTCGTAGAAGGCCTACTAGCTGCAGGCCTGGGTCGAAGTGTTGGACTCAGTGGCCAAACATGGACCCAGTTCTTGAGATGCTGATTTTTTCTTAAGGAAGAAAAGATCTTTCTGAAATGTTAACTTGACCTCTAGATTGCAATGCACCTGGGTTTTTCTTAACACCCATTAAGATGTTGTTTCTCACTCAGTATCTCGCCAGCCTTGCTTGCCTTGAATCTCTCCACACTCTCCCCCTGGAGACACCAGACAATCTCAGTGGCACAAGCCCTCCTGGGGTGACTGTGCCTTTGAACACACTGCTCTCTGAACACACGCTCTCAGACCCCCCCACCCCATCCCCTCTACCTAGCTAACTCCTGCTGCTCTTTCAAACTCCATCACCTCCACAATCCCTTCCCCAGAGAGGGTCTTGGAGGTCAGGTACACTTCCTGGAGGCTCCACCACATCCTGCACTTTCTACCTGTATCACAGCATCCATCACATCAGACTGCTGTTACCGGAATCCTCATGGCACTGTGAATTCCTTCAGGCAAAGACCGGGTTCCTTTTGCCCTGTATCCTTGGAGTCTCACACCATTCCTGGTACATAACAGTCGCTCAAAAAATACTTGGTGAGTGAATCACTCACATTTATTAATCCACTGCTTAAATATAGACTGCTTTAGGGCTGTAAAGGGGCTGAAGTATATGGACCGGGCACACGAGTTCAAATATGGTGTTCACAACGATACACAAGGAGGGGCTCCATTAAACTAACGAGGATGCATATCTTAAGCCTATTCTTTGTTTTTATTTTGGTTTTTAACATTAGACAGATTATTGGGATGAACTGATTTTAGACATTTAGAAGGCAGAAATCGAGACAGACTGTGGGTCACACCAAGCTACGTGCTGGTAGAATGTACATTGACCGCAGAATGCAAACATTGAGTCATTATAGAAATAGACTATATCTCTATCTATTTATATAAACATGGGTGAATAAATAGACAGATAGAGTTTATTGCTATATATAATATTCCAGAGGAAAGTCTTGAACTTAGTTTTAACATTGAAAACAGTGAAAATAATTAGCAAACTCATGAATCAGAGCCAAGCTTTTGTAAGTCCTGATCACTATGATCACATATTTGTTTGAATTGAGTTCTCACAGTTTATTACACTATTACTCCCCTCCAGAGTGTGGATTTAGGTTTCAAAAGCTCTTGTTAACTTTTGGAGACCTCTCGGGTCTATTTTATTTTTGTTTCTTTGATTCCCTGCTGACTACTCTCTCTGTTTACCCTCTCATGTAGAGCGTTAGAGCATCCATGGGGAGGGGGACCAAAAAAGGAGGACTGAAGGCAGATAGAAGAGGCCCAGAAAGTTGTCACACCATTCTTTCTAGAAGCAGGAAATTAAAAGTAGAAAGGAATGTTTTGCACACGTGTGTGTGTGTGTGTGTGCACGCGCACACAGAAGAGAGAATAAAATCCAGGATCAGGAAGTCCAGACCCCCCTCCCTCTGTCTCTCTGGTCTTGGAGATTGTGTCTGAAATACAGCTGGCATCCACTTCTTATACACTGAGCCTCGTGACCTTGGCTGGTACCTAGCTCTAAACTACCTCTATGGCATTCAAATAGCTAATTTGGTGTTGAGGAGGATGGAGGAGGCAGGTAGGAATTAAGAAATTGGAAGGAAAAAAAAATACCCTAAACTGCAAAAGTTAAATTTCCTGCCAGGTGGCTTCCAAATAATCCAGCAGCTTTATTCAAGGCTTTGAAGTTGTGAGCCAACAGTTCCAGATCTGTAATATTTACCCGGCAGTCTCCAAAAACAAAAGTTGACTGTGTTCCTTGAAGTCAATCTCACCAGCATTTCAGGATGACAGATGGGAGAGGCTGGAAAAGAGTTATTGGATGACCTGGAGCTTCTCAATTCCTCAGTAAGTTTTGTTATGCTTCAGTCTCTCTCTCTCTCTCTGTGTACATACATACAGATATATACATACGTATATCTGTGTATATATCCTTTTAACCTTGCTCGACTTCCAACATCAGTTCCTGCCCCCCAACCCAATCATCTGTTGCATTAATCATCAATTCAACAGGTATGTCAAGAATTCACTCTGGAACAGCATTAACTAACTAAACTCTCCAGCCTAACTTCCTTTAACCCAATCGTTGAACTCTGACACTTATATCCACGGATTAAGAAAAAAAAAATGGTGGAACCAATTCTGTGTGTGAGGCAGAATCTCTTTCTGGGTACGGACTTATCCAGGACCTTTAGGGAGGAGAAACGGGTGATGGGTGAATATAAAATTCTGAAACTAAAACATACTCAGGAGGAAAAGACTTTATCCCAAGCCATCCTTGAGGGCTGCTTGTCACTGGCCTTTTTCCCTGTCACCCATCCTTCTTTGCCCTCCAAATCCTTATCATCTTTTATGGTTCTGTAAATGCCACCACCATCATGGTCCCTCAACAAATATGTATTGAGAACCTACCCTATGCCAGGCACGCTCTATGCTTGAATTGAACAAAGCCCTTGACCTGTTGGAGCCATGTTCTAATCATAGAGATAGATAATAAACAAATAAATAAGTAAATAAATAGCTTGTCACATGGTGATTCATGCTATGGATAAAAATAAAGCAGGATGGGCAGGACAGAGAGCCGGGGAGCAGGGTTGTTATTTGTTGTTTGGGCAGAGACCTGAAAGGGACAAAGGAGCAAAGAAGAGGCTGTAGGGGAGAAGAGCCTTCCAGTAGAGGAGACGTCCAGAGCAAAGGCTTTGTGATGGGAGAAGAAACGGCAACTGGGAAGTCTGGTTGGGCTACAGGTAGAGGTAAGAAACGATACAAGAGAGAGAGTGACAGACTGCATCTCAGATAGCTTTGGGAGGCCTTTGGCTTTAACCCTGTGTGAGATTAGAGCGCCTGGAGAGTTTTGAGCAAATAAGTGACATGATCTGACTCCTGTTAGACTTTGAGCTGCAGGGTTGAGAACAGACTACTTAAGGGGAAGAGCTGAACAGTGAGACAAGAGTCTCTTTTCACCCATCCAGGAAAGAGATTATGGTGGCTTGGACCAGGATGATGACGGTAGAGGTCAAGTTCTGGATGTGTTTTGAAGGTAGAGTCAACTGATGTAATCGCTGATGGAGTGGATGTGAAGAGTAAGAGAAAACGAAACATCAAGGATGACACCTCAGTTTTTGGCTTGAACAACTTAGAAAGTGGGGCTCATTCTTTCTCTGTGCTCTGATGTACTTTTATTAATATCAATACTAGAAAACTCTAATAACAATTGTACATGTGTACATCTCTCCCACTAGATGCACTGACTTAATTTTTAGGTCTTAATACACAGAAACTATACTGTAAGTTATTGACATTCACCAATGAAGGGGCAAGCACACATACAAAAATTCATACAAACATTTGCATTAAATTTCAGAAGGTTTATTTATCTCCTAAAACTCATCCATAGGTCCCCTGAGTGGTTCATGGATCCAAGATTTAAAACCCCAGGCACTAAATTTATTTATTCTTTTAATAAATTATTATGGAGTACCTGGAACTCTGAAGACATTGAGGATGTGATGGTGACCAAAGCAGCTAGAATCCCTTTTCATGGAGATCAAAGTCTGATGTGAGAAACAGACAAAATGCTAGTAAGCAAATACACAAACAATTATAAGTTGTGAAAGGAGCTACGGGGAAAATACAAAGCAGAGTGACACAATCTACCATAACAAGATAGAGCATAACAGGGTCTAATCAGGAAACAGAGCTACCCAATTATAAACGGAGGGGATTTCATAAAAGAAGTTGGTTGTATGCATGTAGTAGTGCCTGCCATTGGCTAAATCTGAGCCGATCCGGTTCCCTGTGATTCAGAACAGAACAGAAGAGGAGCAGGGATGGATCCGATCAGAGAGCAGTCAGATGAGTGCCTGACACACAGGGGGACCTACCTAGAAAGAGTGGTCAAGCAGGACCAATCTGAGAAACCAAAATTTAGGTTGAAACTAGCTAACTCAGAAGATGGTCATCAGGGGATAGACAGGGAGAGCGTTCCCAGCAAAGGGCACTGCGGTGGAAAGTTCCTGAAGTGTGAAAGAGCTCTGCCTCTCTGAGAGTGGCAGGGCCTCACCTCAGGCCAATCTGGCTGTTCACAACTATCACATTCTTTAGCCAGAGTAAGAGGTTAGCCATATGGCTCCTATTCCACAACCAGGTGCCAGGTGGCATATTGCAATGGAAACAAGCCTCAGACCAAATTCCACCAGATGCCCAAGCATTTATTAGTGAGCACACAGAAAGACAGCCATACAAACGACTCTTCCTTCAGGGTGAGTACAACCTTCTAGCCAATCATATTTCTTGAACAGCATTCATTTCATCAATGAAAAATTATTTGTAATGTTGCTTATGCTAATTAACGTACCTTCTAATGCAGATTTAGAAATTGACAGTTAAAGCCCTTCCCAGGCCATTTCTGGAGCATGGATTCTTCATCACGGTGATTGAAATATTCCCTAACTGCCTCCTAGAGTGTGGGATGGAAGATAGTCTGCACATTCAGTTAACACGCACATCACACTGTTTACACGGAAGCGGAGTAAGGTTAATCATGACAATGCAACAGAGAGGGTGGAAGGTGCTCAGTGTGGCTAGAGCTCTGGTAGCAGAGGAGAGGAGACTGAGAGCAGGCTGCAGAGCTGGGAAGAAGCTAAACGGCACAGGCCATTTGAAGAGTTTGCATTTAATTCAAAGTGTGCCGAGGGGCTTTAAACAGGGAGGGAACATAATCTGATTTGGCTTTTAAGAGCTTGCTGACTGCTTTGTGAAGAATGGATTATAGCGGAAGGAGAGGGGCAGCAGGACATTCTAGGAGTTCAAACAGAGGTGATGGCATCAACCCAGCGTGACGGCAGTGCAGATGGAGAGAAATGGAGAGAGGTGAGCTGTATCCGGGAGATGGAAGTGAAGGAATGATGATTAGATGAGAGTCTGGATGGTGGAAGGCAGAGGTGGGAATCAAGAACAACTCCTTGTCTTTTAGATAATGTATCTGATTACAGAATGGTATATTGTAGTAAGACGGGGAAGACTAAGAAAGGAAAAGATTTGGTGGAGTGGAAAAAAGGTGGTAGAAGAAGTGTTCCATTTAGTTCTTAAAAGGAAAAGAACACGAGCTTGTCTTACTTTTCTCTGTGTCCATCATCGTGGCCTTTGTGGGTGCTTCGTACGTGCCTGAGGAATTGAGAGGAAGAGATATGCTATTATTTCTCAGCGTTTAACCTTTCTCTCTTCCTCTCCTTCTACCTCATCTATATTATATAACCTCATATATATAACTATATAACTTCTATTATATAAATGTTTATGTATTTTATATATGTATGTGTATATATATGTATACAGACACACCTACAGAGGCATACATAGCTTAACGATGGGGACATATTCCAAGAAATGCTTAGTTAGGTGATTTTTTCACTTACACAAACCTAGATGGCACAGCCTACTATACACCTAGGCTATAAGGTAATAATCTTATGGGACCACCATCATGGTCCATTGTTGACCAAAACATCATTAAGTAGCACATGTGTATATATATTTCAATTCCATATGGTGACACAAATCATCAAAGATAAGATAAACCAACACAATACATTTTAGACAGACATAAAGTTTCTTTAAGTCATGAGGGCTTGGGCTTGAGTTGGCAGGGTGATACCAACAAGGAATCACAAAGCAAATGAGCTCGAGAGATCATGTTTGGAGTCTGAATAAAAAGATACATTTCATGAATTCCCATGTCTCTGAGATGGCCTTCCGTTCCATCTAAAGGTCCGTTAATGCACCTGCTCTTTGCAACTCTGATAGATGACACCACTGCAAATGTTACTATCCCCGTGGGTGGATGTGGCTATGGTTTCCTCATCTGTAGAATGAGGGAGTTACACTGGATGATCTCAAAGACCTGAAAGGCTCCTTTCAGATCCATCTCATCAGACAATTATTTGCAAATGCCTGTAAGAGAGCCAGCAACAGGACAGCACCAGCTGTGGGGACGTCTCTGGCAGGACTTCGTGAAATAGACTGAGTAGCACCAGAACTCTTTCTAAATACTAAAACAGAAGTTGGGGAGACACAGAAAAAGATCCATATCTATGTATCATTTCTACAGAGAGAGGAAACTCTTCTTCTTGGTGTCATTCGGAAAAATATTATTCTCTCTTTTCTGCATTTCTTTATATCACACAAAGGAAAGAGAAAAGAGGACAGTGTGATTTACTTAATTTTGGAAGCACAGTTTAAGAGTTTTCAAGAAAGAAAAACCTACTGAAAGCTTCAGAAGTAAATTAAAGTAAAAAAATTATCCCTGCTTTGCCTCGTAACTGAACAACAGACTTCCCAGGGCTGTTCGCATATTGAATTATATATAGTACCTTTTGCCCGAGAAGGGAAATAGATACAGTCCATTACCAGAGAGGAGACTTTACTGTGAGCAGATTGTGAATATTTCATCTAGTCCAGAACATTTAACAAAATATGTTATTATATTTCCCCATTAAATCACGTATCTATCCATAGTTAAAATTGAGTGCAATTTGGCCCTAAGCCTCCTACTAGTCAAGGCAAAACAAAACACAGAATCAGCTACAAAACACTCGTTATGACAAAGAAGGAGGCATATCATTTTGGAAGGATAACAATAAAATATTTGCTTTCAATAGCGTGAGGCTGTGGGGCCAGTGAACGAGCTGGAAAGAGTCAGCGCCTCTCCACTCTGCGTCTGCTGGCTGTCACACTTCATGTGGCTGTGTTCTCACTGAAAGGCCAGGGCATCATGTTAAAATACAATTCAGTGATGGGCTAGGGCAAACCAGACCTCGAGTGATGCCACCGGATCCGAGGATAAAAGCAGAAGCTCTAGAATGCACTGTCTGATACAGAGGCTATGAGCCACATGTGACTTGAAATGTCATGGTCTGAATTGAGATGAGCTGTAACCATAAATACACACCAGATTCTGAAGTTTTATACCACAGAAAAAGGGAAAATATCTTATTAACATTTTTATATTAATTTATGTTGAAGTGATGTTTTGGATGCATTGGGTTAAATAAAATACATTATTACAATTAACTACACCTGATTCTTTATTTCACTTTTTTTTCAATCTGGCTACTGGAAACTGTAAAATCATATGCGCAGCTCGCGTTTGTGTCTTGCATTATATTACCATGGGATGGTGTGCTCCCGAGGGATGATCTTGCCACTTCACCTTGGACCTGTTACTTTCTCTTCTTGCCCCTCCTTTTCATCCATAAACTGAGGAATCCTAACACCCATCTCCAAGGGCTAAATGCACTGGGTTGTATAAAATGCATAACACTCATAATGCCCAAGAAGCCCTATAATGTCCTTCTCTACAAAGAAGTCAAGTCCTTCTCTGCTTCTCAGCCCAGAAGCCTACCTTTGGGGCTGAAAATGGGGGAATGACAATATTCTGGCTCTTAAGACAGTCCTGCTAAACGACCTGCTCGGGAGCATCCTTCCCCGAGCTCCGGGGCTGTTTTCTCTGGCTTGAGGAAGTGCAGTACCCAGTGATTCCAGTGTCTTAAGACAGATACCTCTGGACCCTGTGGATAGCCCGCGTGATGACAGAGAGAGCCTGTTTATAGAAGAGAGAGGTCGAACACTGCTCAAGGACTTTGTTTAAAATTCTTTCTGTAACCACACAGCTCTCTGTTTGGGTTTGCAGCTCTCATTAAATAAATATCTGGAGAGTCTTCAGGGATCATCCCAGATACGTGTGACCAGGGCTTTTAAGATAATGAGCCACTCTTGAGTCAAACTCAGTGGATTCCCAAGTCGGCTCTTACGAGGCATTTAAGGATGGTCAAGAGGGGTCAGCAAGAGAAGCGACAAAGTTCTTCCCAACCAGGTCAAGAGAAAGCGGCCCTTGTAAAGTTACGTGCAAGATCGGTGCTCACCAGAACCGTGCACAAATGCCTTATGGACAGTGTTTAGGTCCGTGAGAAGCCACAGGGAGGAGAAGAACGAAGACACCACGATCTGAAAAGACAGAACTGGAGAGAACAAGAACATCGTGTTAATTTGAAGGTTGCCCGAGACTCAGCTTCACGGTTTGAGTGAACATGTGCCAATTATCATAATTAGCCCAGAAACAATAAACAATAAGTTTGTGTTTTGTTTTAATGAAATAATCTGAAATGCTGAAGATACAGGAGTATTTGGAGATCTAAATTTAACCCTCAGCAAATCGAAGTCACTTTCAACTCAAACATTCCTAAAGGGAGACCCAGAGATAGGGAAAATGGGAAAAAAATACTTGGGGTAAAAGGGACACTTTTTTTAAATTAACGAACTTTAATTTTTAAAGTAGTTTTAAGTTTATCAAAAAATTGAATAGAAAGTACAGACAGCTCCCAGACATTCTCTCCCTACCTCCCACACACAGTTTTCCCTTTTCTAACATCTTTGTATTAGTGTGGTAATTTGACAATATTAATACATTTTTATTAACTAAAGTCTGTAGTTTACATTAGGATTCAATCTTTCTGTTTTTCAGTTCTGTGAGTTTTGACAAATGCATAATGTCATATATTCCGCATTACAATGGCACACAGAACAGCTTCACTGCCCTAAACATCCCCTATGTTCCAGCCTCTCCTCTCCCCCTACCCCTCAACCACTGACCTGCTCACTGTCCCCACAGCTTTGCCTTTTCCAGGATATCGTAGAGTTGGAATCATACAGTCTGCAGCCTTATCAGATTGGCTTTTCCCACTTAACAATATGCATTTAAGATTCCTCCAGGAGGACTGTTATAGTGTCTTTCAAGAGGGATGGGGACAGTGAGAACAAATAAAAGGGACATTTTAGGCTAAGCTATTATTATTGGTTCTAGTAGCTGAGAGACATGAAGGCCACTCTCACTGTGGAGGAGGAGATCCCAGGATAAAAGGGGTGACAATGCCAACATGAGCTGATAGGCATGAACACAAGTAAGCACACACACCGCAGAGGATAGGGCTGGGCCGTGGGGGGACCTTGAGTTTGTCCATAGGGATCAACTTAGTGATACCCAAACCATAAAATGGAATGAAGTTTGGCCCATTTTCTCCCTAGAAGAGAATAGTACCCAATTTTCCAACAGGAGGGTCAAGATCCAATCTCTCCTGGGGGCAGAAAAATGACACAATACCATTTCGATCTATTATTTCACCATGTTGTTTTTTTCTTGTCTGGTTCAATTCCATTTCCAATCATAGATTCAAAAGTATAACTTGACCCTACAATGGGTTGAATTCATATTTATTTTTCTAAATAGCTTTTTCTCCATTGTCATCTTTTTAAAGAACCACATATTCCAATTTATTTCGTTAGGGGATCCTCACCATAACACACGTGGATCTGTCTGGGGGGAAAAAAAAAGGCCCCAAAGACACAAACTTGAAACAATAACACTTTCTCAAGCAAAATTTAATTCAGGGTTTTTCATGTCGGGGAATCCTGATCTGGCCAGTGTCGAAAGGAGGCATGGAGTCATGTCGAAAGGAGACCTCTAGGCTGGGGAATAGTGTAACCTGTGAGTAGGAAGGGCCGTGGGTTCAAGTACTGGATTCCTGTTCTACCAGCAAAGGGCAGTCCATCCTTGAAGATGGCAGTCCTCAGAAAAGTGTCATCAGGTGAACAATGGCCTCTCAATTATTGTTCTGAATTTCCGGGGTCACATAGTGCAGGTTAAATGGAGTATCCAGGGATCTCACCTAATGGTACCACTGCTCATGCTCCCAGCCTCTATTATAGCCTTTGATGCTCACTCCAGGAGAAAACCTTGCACTTGGAGTGGGCTTTGCCTAAGTGAGCCAGGAACACACTCAGCTCTCCTCTGAACAACACACTCAAGCACCCATGACCTGGAGAGGCAAAACATTTTCCAATCTTCAACCCTTTGGGATAGGGTCGGATTTGGAGGAAGAAGAAGGCTATCACGCTAAATGTTACCAGGGAAATAAAATAGAGGGTGAGAAAATGGAATTTATCAGAATTCACCTCAAGAAGAGTAGTGTGAGTGCTTTGAAGGTATACTAAGTCACTTGGGGCAAGGAGGCGAGACCCTCCCTTCTCCAAGGATTAAGCTTAAGTAACCCTGGATATTTGCTAAGTAAGGAAGATGAGTCCATTTAACTGCAGGTCTTTCGTTTGTTGAGTGGGCCAGAGTGGATTTGCCAAGGGGAATAGAAAAGGGGCTGAGTGTCCCCACCTGGAGTCCCTCTTCTCCAACTCCCATCCTCTCGTATCACTCAGTCTTCTCTTTACGTTAACTGTGAACAAGTACTTGAAGGAGTGCCAAATTAGTAGCTCACTCAGAATACGTAATCATTCATTTTCCTGGGATTCCTTAATGCCTATCTGGCCCTGAGCAAAGGCAAGGGCCCACCTCAAGACGCATCTCCCTGAAAGGCAATGCCATCCAGTGAAGGAGCAGCAATCTGGAGCCAACAGGTTTGCTGCTTCTAGTTCCTCCATTTGGAATTTTTCTCTTTCTTTTCTCCATATCTACCTGTCTATACTCTACCTACACTTTAAGATCCAGCTCAAATGCATCTCCTCCAGCAAGCTTTTTCTGGAATTAATTCACCCCTTCTGTGTCTACTCATAATTACTTGTACATAGAAACAAAGAAAGTATTACGAAATTCTAGAACAAGGTACAATGTGATATCTCTCACTAGAATGTAAGTTCATGGACATCAGTAAAATCTTCCTTTCTGTGTTTGTGTAGGACTCATTCTGGGTACTATAGGCCACACAGAGAAGGTACTAAATAAATATTTTTGTACTGTCATTGCTGCTGCTTCAGGGGCTACCAAGATTGCCATCCATTCTCCAAACTCATCCTTTGCGAGCAAAATCGTGGTCCACTCCTCCAGGATCCACACCAGACTCTAAGAAGCTAATGTGTGATGTGAGGAGTTTCAGACAGCCTTGCCCTAGAGAATGCCTACCATTGGACCTTGGAGTTGATGTCTAGCTAGCATTCATCTTTCTTCTCCTGGTAATAGCACTCTGATTTTCCTTTGGGTACACTCCTACCCACTTTTAATCCAAGTGGCTCCTATGTGGCTAAATCTATACCCCAGTTGTAGAGGTAGGCACATGACCCAGACCTAGCCAGTGTTTCATCCCCTTGGACAGAGTTTACTTCCACAATGGCCACAAGACCCAAGCCAGATCAATGAGATGCAACCTTAGGATTTTTGCTAGAACTCTTGAGAAACAGGAGTTCTTCTTCCATGGTTCCTAAATCCTGAGATGTGAATCTAGGACCATCAACAGTGATTCTGTTTCCTCATGGTCAGAGCCTGCCTGAGAATAATCCCAACGTGAGAAGGAGAAGATTGACACAGGATGCCAGTAGAGTAGGCCAGATAAAATATAGGAAGCAATATGGGACATACTTACTCTAAAAAAAAAATTGTTGTTTCTCTGAAATTCCAATTTAATGGAGTGTCCTGTACTCTTATTTGCTAAACACGTCTAGCTGGCCAGCAGGAAGCCTGGGTCTTGGTGATCGCTTTTGAATCTAGGCACTTGTCAGCTTTGTGAAGAACCACCTTCCTGTTTTTGCTTAAACTAGTTTGAGCTGGGTTTTTATCAACTTGCAACACAAAAATTCCTCACTAATGCAGAAGGTCTGTCATCTTAATGACTGATAAGTATCTTCTTCAAAAGGAAAATATCCTCAGCAAAGAGTCATAGGCTGGATCGGTTAACAGCAGGACATGGAATCTTTGCCAGCTGTTTGGGGCATGAAAAGTACTCAAATTGGGTAATACCTTATGCGTGGGGAGAGTAGAAAATAAGCCAGTGACAAGGTCACTAGGGTGGGAATATTGGGGGCACTGTAGGCTGCACAGTCTAGGACCAAAAGAGAGCTCTCACCAGTGCAACCAGCTCCATGCATTCCCACTTGTCCCCCAAGAATAGCTCACCTCGAAAGATTGCACCCCTACCTTAGCTTCTGGGCTATTTACAGGGAACAAGAGTAGGCTCAAATCTCCAACACAATCCCCAATTGATGGAAAGAAGCCAAAACGCTCTCGCAGTTTGAGGGGGTAGGGGGAAGAAAGGGAGGGGAGGAAGAAGAAAGATTCATTTCAAAACAACCTCTGTCACTTGCCACCCCCACCTGGGGGAAGGACAAATGGAGGGCAATCTGAGTGGGAGAACAAACAGAAAAGTGTCTCTCTGGCACCTGGAAGCAAGCAATCTGATCCGAGGGCCCCAGAGACAGAGCTTGAAGACAAAGCTTTGCGGAGGTGGGGGAGGGCGATGAGTTGTGCAGATTCCAAAGCCTTCCCCGCCCTGCCCTGTCTCCAGGCGCCAGCGTGTCATGTCACTGCAAACAAACAGCATGGGGGAGCCTGCCAGGAGAACTGACAGGGGTGTTTGTGAGCTGAGGTTTCCACCAATCGGGTTGGGCAGGCCATGAAAGATCTCCCTTTTCCTTACTTGGATTTCTGATGCATTAGCCAGAGCCTTAATTAAGCAACTTTTGTGTGCTCGGGTGCTGGGCCAGGGGGGCCATTTAAATTCACTTGACAATCATTTTTCTGGTTTTCTTGCAAAGAAAAATGAGTTAAAACTGGTATCTTTCCTATTTGGAGGAAAAGGAAACTGAGATGTGGATCCCCTTAGACCACACACAACGTCAGCGCAGAGGAAGAAAATCTCTGCATCTCTCCCATCATTCCTAAGGAAGACCTTCCCCTCTCCAGAAATCAACATGGTGGCTCACAGGTCAACACTGGGAAACTCTGTAACAATTCACTACAATTAACTACAACAGAATCAGGTTTTTATCATTGCTTTTAAAAATGAAAAGTTGTACTGATGGAGATAATACCAAACCCCACAATCAATAAAGAGGGCTCTAAGGACTTTTCTTGATAAGGCGGTTTACTCAAGTTTGAAGTGTCACCATTTATTTTTGATTTTGGTATTCTACTTGACCTGTATTTGTGAGGTTCTTTGAATTCTCCTTCAAACCAGTTGCAACA